AAGCACTGTGTTATTTAATCAACAGCATAAATAACTCCAGCAAATCGATCTGAAAAACAGATTAAAATAAAATATTTCGCTTACTCGTTTTGGGTGTGATTATCTGCACCGCATTGCTGCCTGTACGCGTAATAGGCCGTCTCCAGCACCTAGACATCGAGGCAGGTTGACTGAAAACCTGGATACTCAGTGATACAAGTCATTTGGGTTTCAGGCCTTTGTTCCTCCACCTTTTGCCACACTTGTCCGATTTCCCTACAAAAAAACACTTTCATGTGTTGTCAGCATTGGCTGACAAGTTCCACACTCGCACTTTTGACAATTTTATATAAAACACCCACGGACGCTCAAGTTAAAAAACTTCTGTTGCATTCTTTTAGATTGGAAACTTGCTTTATTAAGTTTTCAGGTCAAAAACAAATAAATTACACAATGAATTAAATACCAGTCTGTGTTTCCGAGACGATTGGCATCGCTATGAACCGGGTTCTGTGTTGTCTTCGTGCAGATCGTTTCGGAGAACTCTACTATATTCTGAGTTATCCCCATCGCTGTCATATAAATTTAAGGCATTCGAGTCGCTTCCCTCTGACAAAACATCGTCCGAACTYCTGCTACTTGAACGAGCAGCCATACCAATGCTACTGTGAAGTCCGTGTTGCGCAATATTTTTAGTTCCACCGCTTACGTCACGACCTCTGTCTATTGTTTTCACCGGAAGTAAAATTTCAGTATAAAATGCCGATTTTCTCCTTAAATAAGTCGAATTGGGCAAAACCAATTGCAGATTCGTTTTCTATGACACTTTTTACAAGGAATAAGAAATACATGTATTCTTGGGTTTACAGGCCCTTTAACTGTGTTAAAATTTTCTGCAAAAAATGACCTTTGCACGGCTGTTTCGCGGTGGAAATTTGGTTCGGGCATGCTTTCCACAAGAAACATCGAGTTAATTATTACTTCTCTGTTTAATACCAAATTATGCATTTGCATAAATCTGGCGTCCGTGGCAACCACTCGGGCTAAGGTCTAGTTTAGTTTTGCTGTATTTGTAATGTATGCGGGTGAAATTTAGCATGGCGGATGCATGCACATGGACGAGGCACTTGCTGTCGAAAATTTGGGTAAAATCGGTTAAGTTTTGCCTGTGTTCGACGAAAACGCGTTACTATAGTGGAGCCCAACAAGCACATCCTATGAAATTGACTGAAAACTTTGATTTTGATTTGGGAAAGGCCCGAATTTTTTCCAGCAAAGCGAGATAAGTGTTTTAATCCGAATTGTTTTAAAGTCCATTCAAGGCGCTTTTAATAAGTCAAGATCGGCCGTTATACGACTCCATTTTGAATTTCGGAGGTACTGAATTTCGAGCAGAAAGTCTAATTTTGGTCCCAGAGAGTGCGGTCACACTTTTATTCGTCCAATAGAGAACTTAGCAAATAAATTACACTAGGTCTACATATATAGTACACGTTCTTAGTCAACGAACCAATACATTGCCACTGTAAAGGGAAGCGTTTTACTCATTCGCTCTTCGTTTTAAATTTCTCTCTTTAGGTTTGGGATCTTTCCCTGCTAATTCTGGATTTGAAGTAACCTCGTGTCCTTTTTCTTCACATCGTCAAAATGCTGAGACTGGGTTTTGAATTCGGAGTGTATTCCTTCAATCCCTTGTTCACAATAGAATCCAAGACCCATGTGACTGCCGAAGGAAAGGGCACACATGTTCTCGTAGCATATATAGCTTTGGTGTGATCATCATGTCTGGGAATTTTTCCCTAATGAACTGAAGAAATTTGTGATGTCTTCCTCTACAACAAGAACACAAGAAAAGGGGGAACAGTGAGACATGATCCTATTATTGTATTCATGTTTTCCATGAAAGGCAGTTATTCTTTCACTTACCTAGCTTATCAGTCTTGTCATCAATGAGCTATTTAAGGGTAGAAGTTATGTTACCTTGCAGCAANAGAATTCTTGCTCATCCAAATGAATTGGTAGTGGTCCATTGGCTTTCTCAAAGGCAGCCAATTCCATTTGTTCATCTGCAAGCTTTTCCTATAATGTTGAGATAGTACTATTGAAATATGAACTACTTTACGTACTGTTCAGTAGCTATAATTTGATGGGTTGTTAAATTGATTTGTGCTAGTGTAATATTATAAATCAATAAACTATAACACAGAATCATAGCTTCCTCCACTAAAAAAATAAGATGGGTTTAAATCATGTGTGATGGAATTGGAGGATTGTACAGCTGTGATACTGGAAAACACAAAATTGAGAAAAAGTTACCTCTTCCTTTGCATTTCTAAGGAGTTTTTCTATCTCCTGTAGTAGTGTAAAGTAGGCTGGCATGATATTTACACTAGAATGCAGACTTTGTGAATTCAGCAACTCCTGTGAATAGTAAATAAATTATTTTATCTTACTTTGTCCAATTCAATGCTCAGCAGTTTCTCATGAATCACGTTATGATTAAACTTTTGTTGACTTGTAACAGAGCCATCTGCTACAAACTTGTCATAATCCTCTTGAATGTTTTCAAGGGTTGGGAGTTCAGTTTGTCTATGTTTATGGCAACAGACTTGCATCATTTTGGGATTTATCTTGCACCAATGACATAAATACTTGCCTGAAAATACAATTCTCATGGTGAAAACCTTTTTCACAGAAATAGTAATGTACAGTACAGGCTACATTTAAGTTTTTTTAGTTGATTGCTCAATCATATAGTTATTAGTATGCATGAATTATTGTCTAGATCAGACCTGAGGCACCAGCTGTTCCAAATATCTTACATGGGAATTCAGTCACCAAACAGGAAAACCACTTTCTTTTCACCCTAGAAATAGGCGAAATCAAAAGAACAATTTAGTCAAAATTATGCTATTTCTAGTCTCTATCATCTAGATTAATTAAAAGTGTAATACATTTTTTGTTACTCACCCCCAGGTTGTTTCTTTCAAGGTGTTTACTTGTTCTTTATATTTCATTAAGGCTGTCTTTAAATTGGCCCCACTATCTTTTGCAGGGAACATAGCAAAGACAATGCCATTGTCTGGACTGATTGATCACGTACCTCTTTGCAAATTGGGCACATATACTCATGCTTGATGTTTTCAACAAACTGTTTTGGGTAAAGAGGTTCTGATCCTCAATAACTTGGTAGATTCTTTACCTCCTCAGGAAATGAGAATGTGGCTGGGTGGTTGAAAGCTTAAAGTACTAGACATCCCTTCCACCATTTCTACTCGTTCCTTAGGTGCAGCAGAGTCCTCTGAGTTTTACTCCGGGTTTACTCTTCTTCTTCCTACCAGGTTTCTGATGATCTTTGAAGGAACTACAGATCTTATAGCTTCAAGTTCGTTTGTGTTCAGGCCACATATTGATTGCAAGGCATGTGCCTCTTAGAGCAAATTTTAGCACTTGTGGCAGAACTTGGGAGGGCATACGTCAATGTCATCTTTACAAACTTTGACACCAAAGGCTGTAAAAATTATCTCTATCTTATCAGCTCAGAGAAAACTGTTCTCGTATCTTTTGTATTCTACAATCGCTGTCCAAAAATTCGGCAATTTTTTTGCAGTAATTGTCCATGTTCAGAGAGACCACAGCTGGCCATCTAAATGTATAATCGAACCGAGACCTAAATTAAACTTGGATGTGAGCAACGCAATACTAAATTGACTCAAGAAATGGTTCGAAATTCCTTTTTGTGACTTTCTTGCTTCAGAAGGGTACACCCTTTAGGTTTTTACCATGTTTCAGGAAGGGGTGTCTATCTCTCTCGATCGGTTTTTCAGGCGAGCAGGAATATTTGAATTCTTGTGTTATTGTTAGTAGTGCGTTCCATTTGAAGAGGAAGGGAATACTCGCAGTAAACCATGTGAATCATGCCAAGAAGAACGATTTATCCACCAGATCAAAGAAAAAATAGTTACATATAATTGAAAGGTTTATTGTCCCTGATCGTGATCGAAATTTCCACCGAAAGAAACGTCTTGTCCGTGCTTTAACTATTTCCGTAGCTTCCCGTGACAGATCGATGACGTACACCAGGTGATCTGTGACGTCATTGCTGGGGCCTGGGGAAAGAAATTTTAATGCCATATCCCACAAACCAACGCGCGCACCGATTCAATCCGTTTTCAAACAATGGCGACCGGTCGGCGTGATGCGAGGTCGATGTATCTAAATACTTTCGCACTTTAACAAGTGAGAAGACTTGTCATGGGTAGTTTGAACAATGCAGCTACTGCCATGAAAAGAAACTCCGTGTCCATACTTTGACAGCTTTTCGCGATGAACATTGCAGACAATCCAAACGTAAGCTCGATGTACTCATGCATGGTATGAAGTTTGCTTTTTTATTTCTTACTTATGTACTGGATCGGGCATTCGCTTTATCATAGTTAATCGATTAACTTTGGCTTAATCAACAGTAAATGTTATTGGTATTAAAGCTGTCTTTTTTCTGGGAATGGTGTGTTTGTGTTGATTTTATTTTTTATATGTGGTGATTTTAAAGAAGTTTTGATCGAGCTTTCGTTGCTCTCTGGAAGTCAGTTCCATTGTCGCGGGTGGCACAATTTTGGCGGACTTTTTGACGCGGCGATATTCAGCATTTAAAGTACTTTTAAATGTGTATTGTTTCTTTTGCCGGCTAATTGTATTTATTTGTTTGGATGTCTTGTCGAGCAAAGGAAAATGTGATTCACGCCGATTCAGTAATTCGACTTCATTGCCCATTTCAAAACTGTGGTAAATTTTACAAAAACAATAAGAATTTAAACGAACATCTTCGTCTTTATCCGGAGCACAAACCGGATGGCTTGTCAACCTCTCGGAAACAGGTTTCATTAAGACAATGCGCAGAAAAATTTCTAGACGATGAGAGTAATCCTTATTCCAGGAAGCAAAGGGTCAGTGAACTGCTGAACTGTCTGAACGATGAAGAACTTGTGGATTTAGTTTTACCAAAGATTGCCAAAATTGTGTCACCTGTGGACTTTTTACTGCAAGGAACTGATGGAAATCATGATTTTTATAGCAAATTATGCAAGTTCAGAGATGAACTTTTCCTGCACTACCCAGAACTTCAAGCACTGTTTTGTCCAGATCCCTCACCAAGCACTGGTTTCCATAACCAGAGGCAAGTGTTCACTGAAATAGTTCAAAAGAACAAACCTAATTCTTGCGACTGGCTCCTTGACATTGACAATGGTTCTTTCTTCAAGGATGTTGTTATCCCTTGTGTTTTTAAAAAACAGCACTCTGCGTTTTTGGAATTTTCTTGTGGAATTGTCGGGTCCCTTGCGATTGGACAAAAGGAAACACAAGATGTACTAAGAAAAAAGTGGGGGAAAATATTGGAAGTGGCCATTGGCATCAATCCAATTTTAAGTAAAGACGAGATTTTTGGTAATCTGAATGACACCCGCCAAGAATTACTGAAACAAATTGGTCTAGAATTTAATGAATTTGGAGAAGTGGTTGTGGGCCATGTTGACATTGAAAAGTACATTTCATTGTTTCTTGCCCAACCTGGAACTCAGAGTGTAATAAATACACCCAACAATTATCTGATTCTAATGGATTACACAGATGGCTTTCCGTGGCTTAAATGGTCTCGTCATTTTACCGGAGAAACCAGTGTAAGAGTGAAACTAGTTGAGCCTTACAATTTACTTAGCACAGTTTTGACTGTTGCCCTTTGGTTGGGGAATGATGACTACGAGACAACAAAAAAATGTGGTCATGCTGTTTACAAACAGCTTCAAGAGCTCAAAACAATTAAACACCCACTTACTGGGCAAGAAAATTAATAAAAATTATTAGACGCACTTGTGGGGATGGTAAGGAAAGGAGGTTATCTACTGGCAGTTCATCTGCCAAATCCACTTATCCAATCCCAGAAGCCCCAGAGCACCAGAGCCAACTGGGTGACATGAAGATCATCTGTCCAGAACCAGTTTGGACAGTTTCAGATGCAGAGAGTTGCCAAAAAACATTTGAGAATGAACTATGTGGAAAAGCCCCCACTAAAGAAAAGCGCAGAGAGTTTGCAAAGCAAAATCTTGGGAACACTGGGCATAAAAATTTGAATGGTACAGCCCTCAGTTCTCAGTAGTGACCAGCAGTTCTTATTGGCACTAAAAAATGGACTGGCTAAGTCTGTCCATCTTCATGAGAAGTTGATAAAGTTTGACGAGGTTGGAGTAAAAGCATTTGCTGCTCGAATGCCTAACATTTTGAGGCATGCAGGATTTAAAGGCATTGTGCTGGAGATTTTAGCTTCATTTTGTAGTGGTCTGGAAGTTGTTTACCAAAACCTTCTGCAGACGCCACACGAGTTAACTGGTGATGAGTACAAAGTAATGGCCCGTGTTCACCTTGGCTTTCAAGCTGTCCAAATATTTGGAACTGTTAATATCACAGCTTCCATCTAACAAATTGTGTCTTATGTTCCATACTATGTCGACAAGGCCCGAGCGGATGCTTCACTGATAGGTCTTCCACTGACATTAGCTAACTTTAATGATCCCTTGATGGGAACAGCACATAAATTAAACAAGTCACAATCCTTGCTTTTTTCCGGTGGGAGAACTGGGCCAATATCGAAAAATGCTTACCAGAAGCAGGTTATCAAACAGCAATTCCAAAATGAAGCATTCCAGCTTACAAGCAGGGAAAATACTCCACAGAAATCATCATCAGCCAAAGCTGAAAGAAAAAGGCAGGCACTGATTGATAAAGAACCCAATGTAAAAAAAGTGGTAATTACAATACTATTATTTTCAATATATTCTAGATAAAAAAACCCCCCACCCGCTGTCATCCTATACTATTTCAGTTTCCTCTGACTTAGCTTAAAGATTTTATTACCTCTGACCCATTGCAATCCTGTTCAACTTTCCACACAACAACACAAATTTCAATAACTATGATAAAACCAATCAAATGAGAAGTAGAAAATTTAAACTGTAAATTTTATATTTCTCCTCCACAACAAAGATTTCATGGAAATGATGTTCTTTGTTTCCTAAGGACAACAAACCTTTCCCTTCTGCACTCCGAAACTCTGGAACACCTTTCCTCTGTCCCTTAAAAATCCGAAACTATAGCAATTTTTAAAAAGAAAGTTAAAGCAATTATTTTTTGTAATAATTATTAGTTTTATAATCTTAGTTCATTCTCTATGTTATTTTTTTAACTTATTTATTTTTGTAGCGCATTGCAAATTTTTAACGCATGATTACGAACCTTTGTTATTATTATTATTGATTAACCACTGAAATCACCAATATCTGTTTAAACCTTGACATATCCAGACTTTTGTCTTATATTTAGTTAAAAGGCCAAAGTTTGAAAAAGAAAAAATCCTGCTTCTATTCCCTTTTTATGCCAACCCAAAATTATCACAATGCCAACCTCTAAAGGAATAAAAGTGATTTACACATGTACTCCAGTGGAAAACACAGCTTCAAACTTTATAAAATGAAGTTTATCCGGCTCGTAAAAATGTTGAGTAGAGTTTTGTACAGTTAACTGTTTTTTTTTTTTTAATTTTATTTCACTTTCCGAAGCATCTACCTTTTATTGAAGACAAGCCTAAGCTAAAATTTGTCCAGACAATGTCTGAGAAGCAAGCTGGCAAAACTGATGAAAATGACGATGAGCAAATTGACAAGGTAAAGAGAAAACAGGGTATTTTGTATTATGTTATAATCCAAAATTACCGGATAATTGTCATACATGTAGGATATTCATGTTTTACATACTATCAGCAAAGATGAAAACAACCTTAAGCATATCTTGTTTTACAAAACACAATGTATCAATTGAATATGAAGTGAAACACAGGGCAGGTTACATGGAAATGAAATTTGTACTTACAATTTTCAGGAGGAAGCGACTGAAGACGTAGCAGGGCAGGGTACTATACTTTGCAATGCACGAATCAACGTGGAGGAGGCCTCCGAAGCAGAAGTCATGATGTTAACTGAGAACCTTTTAACGTTTGCAAAGGATAACTTCAGTGCCGCGAAAGGTACAATTTTAACGAAAGATTATGCCAAGAAGTTCAAAGAAGTTAGTTCTCCATTGCCCAGAGTTGATTTCCATTTAAAGTTTATTCGAGCAACGTTCGTTTCGTGGTCACGTTCTGATCCCAGAGTTAGCAAAGAAATTTTGAAGGGTAAAGTTTTGTAATAAGCCGTGAACAGAGACTGCAGACAATGAGAATTAAAGCACGTCTAGTTTAATGGCGAACTGAAAACAGAAGATCAAAACAAGCCTGCCAAGACTGACGGGTAACATGCGTGACGCGTGACGGGCAACAGTTTTACCAAGTTCGTCAAGCAATTGCTTTTCGTTTCAATCTACCAAATCTGAATCGTACGAGAGTAAAAGACTTTTGATAGCATTCTCTGATGTTCTTGGTTTGGAAGTGACTGAAGATTCCTTGAGTCTAGATGTCATGTCACTACCAAAGTTTGAGAAGAAGGTTCGAAGGCAGATTTGTATCACTGAAGCAGAAGTCAATCAGACGTCGAGTGGCAAATGGATGGAGGAATGTATCCTGGCAAGTGAAAAACCACCATACCGGATTACGGTACGACTGATGCGTCAAAATGAGCCTAAATTGAGCCAGCTGAAAGAGCTGCTACAAAAAATTCCATCCTTGAAGCGAGCAGCCGATGGAGGCCCTCAGGCAACTTACCAACCAAGCTCGCACGTCCATGGAAATCCCGAGGAAAGGTATCCCGTCTTGAAAGATCCGGCTCTCGTCAGAGCCGGGCAGCTCGCTTGTGTACGTCTCTTAAGCACATTACCATCGCACAATAAAACCGACTACGTCGTCAAAATGTAGTCCCTGATTGGAATGAAATTTAACAGTCTTCAGCGGGAAAGAATCAAGCGCTGAGTCTAGAATACTATCCCAGGATTGGACTCACAGAAGACATCCAAGTAAGTAAAATTTTCACCTTTCACTTTCAGTCTTAATAAGAACAAATAGCTGTCTTTCGTAACATTTCTTTGTCGCAAACTTTCCCGCATGGCGGCCGACCGGTGGCACAGTGATCACAGTGATATGTGTACCCCCGTGATATGTGTACCCCCGCACACATATCACTAGTGATATGTGTACCCCTGGTAGGGATACACAAAACACTAAGGCTTTGCACCCGGGTCTCTTAGAGCTTCAAAGAAAACATGGCTACGAGGAACAAATTTTGTGGTTTTATATTTTAAAGTTTCCGATCCAAAATATAAACGGAAGAAGATCACAATGCAACTGAATAACAATACACATATTGACTGCGATTGCCGCGATATGCGTATCCACATTGTATCCCCAAGATGTATTGGGGATACACATATCACTGAACGGCGATCGCAGTGATATGTGTATCCCCTGACTAACTCGCTGTCGTCTGTCAATTTGGAATCAATAATACACTTACTAGCCATATATAAGCTTAGCTAGTAATTTGCTAGAAAGACAACAGCGCTTGCTTTACCAAGGGATACACATATCACTTACTACGATTTCCGTAATATGCTTAACCCCGAGATATGTTGAGGATACACATATCACTGAACGAGAGANTCAGCAGTAGGGGTGTCACAGTGATATGTGTACCCCCGTGATATGTGTACCCCCGCACACATATCACTAGTGATATGTGTACCCCTGGTAGGGATACACAAAACACTAAAGCTTTGCACCCGGGTCTCTTAGAGCTTCAAAGAAAACATGGCTACGAGGAACAAATTTTGTGGTTTTATATTTTAAAGTTTCCGATCCAAAATATAAACGGAAGAAGATCACAATGCAACTGAATAACAATACACATATTGACTGCGATTGCCGCGATATGCGTATCCACATTGTATCCCCTAGATGTATTGGGGATACACATATCACTGAACGGCGATCGCAGTGATATGTGTATCCCCTGACTAACTCGCTGTCGTCTGTCAATTTGGAATCAATAATACACTTACTTGCCATATATAAGCTTAGCTAGTAATTTGCTAGAAAGACAACAACGCTTGCTTTACCAAGGGATACACATATCACTTACTACGATTTCCGTGATATGCTTAACCCCGAGATATGTTGAGGATACACATATCACTGAACGAGAGATCTCAGTGATATACGTATCCCCTGGCTAGTGCGATGTCGTCTGTGTACTTTTTAAATTTGTCAGTGACAAATATGATTGGGAATCAATAAAACTTGCTGTCAGTTGGTGAAATATTTCATGCACTTACGTACTAGCCAGTAAAGGAGCTAATAGCAAGTAATTTCAGTGCTAGACAGGCGACAAAGCCGTTACGATTGCAGTCACCAGTGATATGTGTATCCCCAAGATATATTTTTGTTTACATGACAATTTCCATTTCTTTATATTTCCAATAGATTGTTTGATGTTTGCTACTGGCCCATAAGAACTGTCGGGCTCGCGAGTCGTGTCTTTACAGTTCTGATTGTGGAAGATGGTTCAGTGAACGATTTGCGTCCATTAACACAAGCTAGCCGTAAGTATTTATTTTTTGGAGGGGAGGGGGGTGGGGGATACACATATCACTGGCCGCCATCTTGGAGGGGGTACACATATCACTAGTGATATGTGTGCGGGGGTACACATATCACGGGGGTACACATATCACTGTGACACCGGCCGCCATTACTTGAGAACAGATTGAATTGGTGCGCGCGTTGGTTTATGGGATACGGCATTAAAATTTCTTTCCCCAGGTCCTCGCAATGACGTCACAGATCACCTGACAGTTTTTGGGAAGGAGATCACACCCATGTAGTGCGACTTTCTTGCACGTAATAGATGGCCGTGGATATTTTAGCAGTTTGTCATACATCTTGTATTCTTTATTTAGCCCATGGGTGAGCATGATTGTATCAAAAAGATAAATTGGCTTAGTTTAGGGGAATTTGTTCGAAATCAAAGAGGAAATGGACGCCATATTTACTATTTCGGTGGTGAAAAGTAATCGCGGATTATATTGCTCAAAACAATTCGGATTAAAACGTCTTGGTACAGAAACTTGTTGCAAAGGAGAGATATAAAGCCAGAGTTGTTTCTTTATTGACAGAAAAATTCGAATCAATCAGTATCTTGCCTGAAAATAAGAAGACCTCTAAGAGGTCATAAATCATTTCGCGTCAAAACAAGGTGCCTTTCAGCCGTCGCATAGTTAACTATTCCGCACACGCAATATTTCCAAGGCGAACATTAAACAGAGAAGCAAAAAAAATGTATGTGCATCAGTTAGCTATTTCCTTGGACTTTGCGCATAAACTTTTTGTGACTTACTTATCAGTGGGCTCTTTCTTGTTGAGCCGTTAAGCGTACATTTTCAGCCTTTTCAAATTGAAAATGTAAATCTGACATGCGCGAACTGAATTTCCACTGGTGGGCGTTTTTGAAACGGCCGTGCCTTGTTCATAAACAGTATTTTATGTTAATATGATGTTCATGCCAAATCATTGTCTTCTTCTCACCATGGGACAGTGGAGGGTAACGGTATGTGATCTCGTTATCATTACCCGCGATCGCGAGGAATCGCTGAATAGTGTAACATTGCCACAGACCAAAACTGCTATATTTTGAGAGAAAACACTATTGAGCCGAAAAGTCTTCGGAGGAAAGATCGGCGAGCAGAACTTTCTTTCTACTAACAATTAGCAAGCATCACTTTTTTTTGTCGGTGTAAACATTTACAGAAAGCATTTCTAATTTAATTAATGAAGCGTCAAAAGTCTAACAATGTAGCTGTGATTTGACGCGAGAAACAACACGTCCATGGCTGAGCGTCACAAATCGTACACGGATAAAATCAACACAAATAAGCAAGGATAAATCTTGAAAGAAACTTGCAATTTGCGTAAAGAAATCTTCTAGACTACTGATTTTCGTGGTCAGATAAAATACTGGCAAAAAGCAATTTGACTTTGCAAGTCACGCAACAATTATTACCAGCTAACCTTGCGCTAGGCGAATGCCAATAATGGCCAATTATATTACGGATGTCA